TTGAAGAAATGCTCCCATATGAGATTTCCATTTTTAAAATTTTGATCCATTGAAGAGTGGTGGTCATCCAATTAAACCACCTTCCTCTTGAGAATCCACTCAAAAATAACTAGTAGTAATAATAGATTTCTCGAAGGTAAACTAGGGAAGTAAGTTGAAACAAGATATGTCTACTTAGTGTATTAGGATCTCAGGGCAACCACGCTCTGATAGCAATTGTTGTTTCTAGAGGGGGAACTCGCATTGGATCTTCCCAGATGATTATACACGCATAGACCAAGACACTACAACTAGACGGGGGTGAATAGGGTTTTTAATTTTTGCCCCAATTGATTACAAATTAAAATCAATGTCTACCACAATTACCTCTTCTAACAAATATGAAGGAATGAATGTGGGAACTTTTTTTGTCACCACAAACCCTTTGAACCATGACTATTGATTTTAATTAATATGCAATTAATTCACTCAAGTTAATCTCACGACGATCCCAAGAAACCTAGTTGCACAACTATGGTTGAAAGATATTCATACAATCAAATCAACAAACACACAATGCATGTGTGTGCTAACAAATGCAAGTATGTACAATAGAAAGTAAGAACACTCACTATCTATTGACGTAGAAAACCCCCACGATAAAAACCACTGGGAACCTCACTAGGTTCACCAAAACCTAATCCACTACTCTCTGAAATCAACATATAAGAACTTGAGAATTATACATCAACCAATACCATGGTCAAATGCTCTTTTCCTTGCTATGTCTATTAGTTGAAAGTCCCTCTCCGACGTCTGGTGTAGCTTTACTTGGACATCCCTGCGGCTGGATTTGTCTAGGCCTCGAGCAATTATAGGCATGCCAACAATCCTCGAAATGCACATACAAATGGTTTGGGTTTTTTAGCAACCATCTTCTTTGAATTCCTACCCTCACTATTCTTAACAAAATTTTAACTTGTGCCTGCTTGTGGGGGTGATGGGTTGGTGATATCTGTCACAAACATGGTCTTGGAAGATGTGTGGGTGTGTTCATTGGGGTAGCCTAAACCACGCTTATCATCTACACTTTTTACCCTAGATAACATCCTATCAAAATTATAATTGCATTGCAAAGTCTATAAGAGAGTTTACTTGATCCATGAAGATCTTTATCTAGTTCGGCACATTTTGATTCAAGATTCTTCTAAGACTTGACAAGCTCGTGACCCTCTCTCTCAAGAAAACTCATTCGGTCAGGTAGACACTTGTTCTCATCCTGTAGGCTACATACTTGGGTCTTGCACCTGACCAAGTCCACTTGAAGGGCTCTTGTCTCTTCTTCACTTGACCAAACCCGACCATTCTAGGAGAGCACCTTCTCTTGTTGCTTGAGGAATTGCCCAAACAATTGATCATATATATCTTGAATATCCTCATAGCAATCTTCATCCTCCACACACATGGTGATTTCCTCATCTAAGTCATACCTTCATGGTAGGACTTTCTTTAATTTCACTTGTGGAAGTTTCTCTAGGGGGAGAGGAGAGTGGTCCTACAAAAGTGGTAAAGTTCTTTTCACCATCTTGATTAGAGGAATCATCACCCGAGGTCAATTCACTTTCACTATCATGCCACTTGTCTTTCATAGCCATCCTATTTTCATTATGCAAATCTTTCTTCTTTCTATTTGGGCATAAATATCCAATATGTCTAAATCCTTGACATTCAAAGCATCAAAAACCTTGCCCCTTTCTCTCAACTTCTTTTCCAGTTTCTCTTCTCTATTTTTCTCTTTCTTTCTTAGGAGTACTATTTCTTTGCAATCATGCCATGGTCCTTCTCTTCTAATTGAGGTTACCTAGATTTACCTCCTTCTTGATTAGTTGAGCTCAAGGCCGTGCCCTTGGACTACTTTAAGCAAGGAAGGTTTATCTCAAAGGCCAAGATAGGCCACACTAGGTCTTCCACCGACACTAATTCCATGTTAACACTTGTCTCCAAGGATGTGACCTTAGTATGAAATCTGTCGGGTAAAAATCTCAAGATTTTCCAGTTGATGGCCAAATTGTCAACCTTAGTACCTAAATGTTTCATTATCTTGTATCCTCAAAGTCTCAAACTGAGAGGTGTACCTTTGGAGTCGAAACATCTTCAAAATGGAATTCCTTTTGTGGAAAACAAGCAAGATGTCCCATGCTTTAGTTCAAGTATCGCAATTAGAGATCCTTCAACACTCACTAGGTGTCACATAATTGAGTATTGTATTCAAGTCTTTTGAGTTCCACCCCTACAGACTCATTCTCATTTTGAGTCCATACCTGAGAATTTCAACCACCACTTCACCACATTCCACTTGCATGGTGGTTGTGGGAGACATCCAACCCTCTTGGAGAGTCATCCACACTCTCTCATCAATGCATTTAAGAAATACAAGCTTTCCAATATACAAAGTTTGACATTGAACAATGATGGTCATCTAATTGAACCACCTTCCTTGTTAGTATCCATTCAAAACTAACTAGAAGTAATGACAGATTTCTCGAAGGTAAACTTGGCAAGTAAGCAAAAATAAGATATGCCTACTTAGTGTTTTAGGATCTCAAGGAAACCATGCTCTGATACCAATTGATGTTCCAAGAGGGGGAATTCACAATGGATCTTCCCTCACGATTATACACATGGAGACCAAGACACTATACCTAGAGGGGGGGAAGAATAGGTTTTTAATTTTTTTTTCCAAAAACTGATTACAAATAAAAAACTGTCTTCAATAATTAGATCTTCTCAGAAATATGAAGTAATGAATGTGAGAACCCTTTGAACCATGGCAATTGATTTTAATTAATATGCAATTAATCCACTCAAGTCAATCTCATAGTGATCCCAACAAACCCACAAACCCAATNTAGTCACCACAAACCCTTTGAACCATGGCAATTGATTTTAATTAATATGCAATTAATCCACTCAAGTCAATCTCATAGTGATCCCAACAAACCCACAAACCCAATTACACAACTAGGGTTGAAGGATTTCGTACAAGCAAATGAACAAACACACAGTGTGCATGTGTGCTAACAAATGCAAGTGTGTAAAATAGAAGGCAAAAAAAATAAAAAATCACTAGCTATTTGTTGACTTGAAATGCCCCCCTTAGGAAAAACTACAAGGAACCTCGCCAGCATCACCAAAGCCTATTCCACTACTCTCCTAGTCAACATACAAGCACTCGAGACTTATACCTCATCCAATTAGCTTCACTCGGACTTCCCTTCCACATGATTTGACTAAGCCTCGAGTGATTATGGGCACGCCAACAATCTTTAGTATGCCTACACCAATGATTTGGGTTTATTTAGCAACCTTCTTTGACACTTGTCTCCAAGAATGTGACCTTGGCATGAAATATCTCAGGCAAATATCTCAAGATTTTGCACTTGATGGCCACAAAACCAATGGTACCAATGAAAATGATGAATTTACAATATCACACAATTTAGCGTAAAATTCACTAAATGTTTCATCATCTTGCATCCTCAAAATCTCAAACTGAGAGGTGTACCTTTGGAGTCGAGACATATTATCCATGGAAGTCCCTTCGTGAGAAAGAATCATGAGTTGAAGTTTAGCAATTAGCGATCCTTCGAAACTCATTAGGTATTATGACACTAAATATTGCATTCAAGCCTATTGAGTTCCACCACGTGTACTCATTCTCATTTTGAGTCCATACCTTCGAGGATTTTACTTCAACCACCACTTCATGAATTTCAACTTGTGTGGTGGTGGTGGGAGGCCACCAACGCTCTGCAGAGTTATCCNATATTGAGTTCCACCACGTGTACTCATTCTCATTTTGAGTCCATACCTTCGAGGATTTTACTTCAACCACCACTTCGTGAATTTCAACTTGTGTGGTGGTGGTGGGAGGCCACCAACGCTCTGCAGAGTTATCCACACTCTCTCATCAATGCATTTAAGAAACACTCTCATACGAGCTTCACAATATGCAAAGTTCAATCCATCGAGGAGTGGTGGTCGTTCAATTTAATCATCTTCCTTTTGAGAATCCATTCAAAACTAACTACTAGTAAAGACAGATTTCTCCTAGGTTAACTATGCAAGTAAGCAAAAATAAGATATGCCTAATTAGTGTCTTGGGATCTTAGGACAACCACGCTCTAATTCCAATTGTTGTTTTGGGAGGGAAAACCCGTAGTGGATCTTCCCTCATAATTTATAAAAATGAAGACCAAGACACTATAGCTAGAGGGAAGATGAAGAGGTTTTCAGTTTTAGCACAAAATTGATTACAAATTAAAACCTATGTCTACGACAATTACCTCATCTCACAAATATGAAGCAATGAATGTGAGAACCCTTTTAGTCACCACAAGAACCATGTTGATTGATTTTAATTAATATGCAATTAATTCACTCTAGTCAATCTCATGATGATCCCAACAAACCCACAAACCCAATTGCATAACTATGGTTGAAAGATATTTGTACAACGAAATGAATAGACACACTGTGCGCCTATGTGCTAACAAATGCATGTGTAAAATTGAAAGTAATGAACACTAGTTATTTGTTAACATGGAAGGCTCCCCTTGTTTAGGCCTTGAGTGATTTTGGGCAAGCCAACAATCCTTGGTATGCACAGACCAATGATTTGGGTTTCTTTAGCAACCTTCTTCTTTGAATTCATACCCCTACAATTCTTAACAAATTTTGAGCTTGTGCCTTCTTGTAGGGTGATTAGTTGTTGATACCTTTCACCACTTGGTCTTGGAAGAAGTGTGGGTGTGTTCATTTGTGTAGCCTAAACCACACTTGTCACCCATAATTTTTCCCATGAGTAATGATACACAGACTTAAAAAACTAGACTTGATAATTACAACAATTGATTTCACTGTGAGCCCCACTACCTATTCAATGGTTGTGATTATCAAGTCTAATTTTCAATTCTTGTTTTTAAGTCCATGTATCATTGCTCTTTTCCCATAGATAACATCTAAGCAAACTTCTCATTACATTTGAGAAGTCTATTAGAGAGCTCATTTGATTCGCGAAGACCTATATCAAGTTTGCCACATTTTGACTCAAGATTCTCCTTAGAGTTGACAAGCTCATTATAGTCTCTCTCAAGAAAACTCATTCGGTCAGGTAGAGATTTGTTCTCATCCTCTAGGCTACTATGAAGGGCTCTAGTCTTTTCTTCACCTGAGTTGACCCAACAACTCAAGGAGAGCACCTTCTTTTGTTGCTTGATGAATTGCACATACAATTGATCATATACACCTTGAATATCCCCATAGCAATCTTGATCTTGCACACGTGAAAGTTTCCTCGTCCAAGTCATCTACCTTTGTGGTAGGAATGGCTTCAACATCACTCATGGAAATTTCCCTTAGTGGAGAAGAAAGTGGTTCTACAAAATCCATAAAGTTCTCTTCATCATCTTGAGAAATGGATTCATCACCCAAGGTCGACTCACTTTCACCATCATGCTAGTTGGCATTCATAGACCTTCTATTTTCATTGCACAAATCTCTCTTCCTTCTATTTGGGCATTTCGATATAATATGTCCAAATCCTTGACAGTAAACGCATTAGAAACCTTGCCCATTTCTCTCAACTTAATTTTGAGATTCCCTTCCCCCTCTCTCTCTTCCTTCCTTGTGAGTACTATCCTTGATTTGGTTTACCCTAATCTCCAAACATGAGCCTGGATGTGTATATGATTTATGTGTATAGGTGAGTCTCACTCTCCCTCGGGTTCGATGTTAAAATGGGGAAACGTGTGTGTGAATGAAAATGTATGTGTGTGTGCAAAGGTGCTCCCTAAGCGAAGAAAGACTTTCAATTTTTGTGTTTTACTTGGAATGGGTATTCCAAGGCCATCTCCTTAGGGAAGGAATATCGAATTGTGGTGAAGATGATTTTGTAAAGAAATGAAAAGTGTAAAATCTTGTGAATTTGTGTTTTGGTGAGTGGAGTTTTTGATAAAAACGCATTGAAAATAAGGTTGGCTAATTCAAAAAGATCATTCCAATGGGAATGCCAAATCAACTCAATACATTCTACCAATGGTGTCTCAGTGCTTAATCCAAAGAGAACACCTTCTCTTGTTGATTGATGAATTGCACATACAATTGATCATATACATCTTGAATATCCCCACAACAATCTTCATCCTACACACACGTGGGGATTTCCTTGTCTTAGTCATCTACATATGTGGTATGAATTGCTTCAACTTCACTCGTGGAAGTTTCTCTAAGGGGAGAGGGGGGGGGTGGCGCTACAAAACCAGTAAAGTTCTCTTCATCATCTTGACAAAAGGATTCATCATCGAAGCTCAACTCACTTTCACTATCACGCCACTTGGCTTTCATAGCCCTCCTATATTCAGTGCACAAATCTTGCTTCTTTATTTTTTGGCATTTTGATGCAATATGTCCAAATCCTTGACATTCAAAGCATTGGAAACCTTGCCCCTTTCTCTCAAATTTTTTTATAGAGTCCCTTCCCTTTTTTTCTCTTCCTTCATTAGGAGTACTATGTCTNTGATGCAATATGTCCAAATCCTTGACATTCAAAGCATTGGAAACCTTGCCCCTTTCTCTCAACTTTTTTTATAGAGTCCCTTCCCTTTTTTTCTCTTCCTTCATTAGGAGTACTATGTCTACGAGGCTTCCAATTGAAAATCGCATTCAAGCTTTGATACCAATTGTTGTTCTAGGAAGGGGAACCCATAGTGGATCTTCCATCATTAGAGACCAAGACACTATACCTAGAGTGGGGGTGAATAGGTTTTTCAATTTTACCCCAAAATTGATTACAAATTAAAATCGATGTCTACCACAAATACCTCTTTGCACAAATATGAAGTAGCGAATGTGTGAACCTTTTTAGTCACCACAAACCCTTTGAATCATGATGATTGATTTTAATTAATTTGCAATTAGTTCACTTGAGTCAATCTCGCGACAATCCCAACAAACCCACAAATGCAAATGCAAAATTATGGTTGAAAGATATTTGTAATATCATATCAGCAAACACACAGTGCACGTGTGTGCTAAAAAATGTAAGTTTGTAAAATAGAAAGTAAAGAACACTAGCTATTTGTTGGGACGAAAAGCCCCCCTTAGGAAAAAAATCGCGGGGAACCTTGCTATCTTCACCAAAGCCTAATCCACTACTCTCCAAGTCAAATGACAAGTACTCGGGACTTATACCTCAACCAATTAATTCTCTCTGACATTTGGAGTAGCTTCTTTTACACCTCACTGCCACATGATTCGTTTAGGCCTTGATCAATTATGGGCACGCCAATCATCCCTGGTATGCAAACACCAATCATTTGTTTTTCTTTCGCAAACTTCTTCTTTGAATTCCTACTCTTACCATTCTTAAAAAATTTTGATCTTATGCGTACTTGGGGGATGATGGGTTGGTGATATCCTTCACAACATAGTCTTGGAAGATGTATGGGTGTGTTCATTTGTGTAGCCTAAACCATGTTTATCACCTACAATTTTTCCCATATATAACATCATATCAAACTTCTCCTTGCACTAGGGAAGTCTATCAAAGAACTCATTTCATTCACAAAGATCTATACCGTGTTTGGCACATTTTGAGTTAAGATTGCTTCTATCTTCCTCCTTGTGAATGTAACATAAATTAACTTGAAACCGTTTGTGTGTTTTTCAACTTATGTTATGTACGCATTCATTCCTTACTCATTCATTGCCTTCTAATTCAACTTTTGTACAAAGTTGAATTTTATTTTAAAAGAATATAATAATAATTAAGACTACCTTAAATTTAAATTGCTTAACTTAAATTTCCCATAAATTGTTTGAGATTTGGTATAAGTTTAAAGTTCCATAATAGTTCCATAAATTTCCAAGCAACAACATTTTGTAACACCATCTCTCTCTCCCTCTCTCCCTCTCTCACTCTCAGTATAAGCATTGTATTTATGTCTCTCAGTGATCAAGCAACACCATTTTCCTCAAAATAAACATCTTGATTATTTTGATATAGTTAGAAAGTATTGTTATCCTTGAGTTGAAAAGTCTTGATAATTGTGATAGAGTTATAAACGTTGATTAATTACTCCCTTGTTAGCAAAATTATAAACGTTGATTAATTACTCCCTTGTTAGCAAAAAGATCGGCTACATTGTTGGCCTTCTTGATAACATGTTTGAGTTCAAATTGAATTCTTGAAAACATGTTAAAATCAACCCTCTTATAGGAATTATTTTATCAAACTTTCTATTATTGGTTTGATCTCCATATTTCATAGTTTGCTAGCTATACATTTCCAGCTCTAAGGTTTCTTATTTTCTCAATTCTTGTATGTTGCATGCGTTAAATTCCCTGGGACTTTGCTGAACTATGGATATGTATTTCCTTAGGTTCTTGTGAATTTAGTACTTATTCCACAATGGAAAATATTTGAAATGGTGAGAAAGCAAGTTACCATTTTGTTGTATTGGGGCGAACGAATGAAATATGGATCGGAGGGTTTATTCTATGATTCTCCTCCCAAAGGTGAAATTGTTGTAAATAGTGGCACAAAACTGCCAGGGTTGTTGAATAAAATTTACACTATAATGGGGTTGTACATGTCATATTACAAGTTGAGGTTGACATGTAGATATTCATTTACAATAGGAGCAAGACCAAACATGAATACATATGTCGGACTAAATGTTGGGAATAATGAACTTGTTAGTTCTTTGGTTAATGTGGTAGTCGACACCCCCACCATGGCTAGTTCTGTTTTGTACGTGGAGACAGATGACATCAATACTGTCATAGGCGGTAGTTAGATTGGGAGGTGCCTAACCCCCACTACCATGTCTTACACTAAGTTACTCAGGTGAGAGATAGGCAACTCGACATTACCAACTTATGGGTTGATAGGTGAATGTTCCACTTTCGTGGGGATGAAAGTTATTGGATGAGTTTGGGTAGTACTCCTATACCCACCAACATTCTGGGTCTGCTACATATGGTGGGTTCTCAAACCCAATGAGTCATAATTTTCAAATGGGTGAGGAGGGGATTGAGTTGGGTGAAAAAGATGATGTACATTAACCAGTAATGCAGCAAAGTCTAATCCAGGAATATGAAGAAATGTGTGCAAATGATCATACAGATGTCTCAGATGAAGAAGAAGAAGAGTATGAGGAATTAGTAATTGATGAGTCAGATGACGTTGATGGGAATGGTGAACAAACTGAGTCTGGTGGGGAGGTTCAGATGTATGAGCCTTACTCCCTTTTCTTCACAAACATTGAATTTGGTGAGTAGATAGCATAGTACCATCTACTAAATTGAATTTGTGGGATCTGATAAAGATGGAGTTGGCGAAAGGTATGGTTTTAAAGGATAAAGCTTCATTGATTAGGGTAGTTAAATGGTATTCCATCAAGTTGAATCAGGATTATATTGTGGTGGAGACGAATACAACGGTGTGGGTTGTACAGTGTAACATGCCTCATGCTTGGTAAGTCTACTAGACAGGAAAAACTATCATTTTAGATCACGAAATATAATGGACCTCTTAGCTGCTTCTACTCTCGAATGAGTCGTGACCACAGACAGTTAGATACTAACTTCATATGTCATAATATACAAGGACTTGTTGGTGATACCCGCAAATAAAAATATCAACAATTCAGAAAAATATGAAGGAAAAGTTTAAGTATGATATTTCCTCCAAGAAAGCTTGGATTACGAGGAACAAGACCATTGCTATGATTTTCGATGATTAGGACTCGGCGTATGACATGTTGCCTAAATATTTGGGTGCCATCAAGAAGTATAAGCCTAGCTCAATTATAAAGTGGCGATACAATAATGAATATAATGTTTTTTGTCAAGTATTTTGGGCATTTAAATTCAGCATTAAAAAGTTTAAACATTGTCGACCTGTTGTCATTATTGATGGGACATTTCTCCATGGCAAGTACAAGGGAAGATTGTTAGTGGCAACGGGTTTTGATTCTAATAAACAACTGTTTCTCATTACATTTGCTACCGTGGAAGAGGAAAATCAATTAAGTTAGTCTTTTTTTCTATATTACCTTTGGCTGATAGTTCTTAGACATCGGTAAAAGATATGTTTAATTTTTTATAGACATGCGAGAATCATTTGTGCTGTAAACATCGAAAATTCTAGGTGGCATTCACCACATGCTTATCATCACTTTTGTCTTAGGCATGTGCAAAGTAATTTTAATATATAGTTCAAGGATACCTACTTCTATGATCTTATTTCAGTCCACCACCCATTGTTGACCATGCCACTACACCACCTATTGACCCTCCTTTATAG